TTTTCGGGCACAGTCTTGTTCGCTGGGGATGCTGGGGTGTGTCAAGGGAGGCGGGCATGGTGTTTCTCACAATTTATTGCCGCTTCAACAATGGTGGAATGGTGGAGATGCCGCACCAAACCCAGCCTTCTAGCCTATGTCCTAGCATGCACAGCGAACAAGGCGGTCAGCATAGCTAGGAAAAGGGGCGGAGCGTTCACGAAAATCCATTTACAAAAAAGGCTCCAGGAAGAGGGCTGAGGATATACCTACTTACGAGTTGATGTCGATTTTTTAATATTTCCAGTTAATTTCGGATTAGTTTAATCAAAGAAAGTTTTGTACTATTTTTTTACATATCCGGATTCTCTACAAAGCAAGTTTCGCTACACAGGACTCAGCACACTGACACCTTTGCGCTGCTCGTTACTGGCTACCGCACTCATTACGACCCCCCCCCCTCTCCCAGCGGCCAAATACGACCCCCTGTTGGGGAATCCCCAACAATGATGTGCCCTGTCGATGCGACCGCTCTGGATCAGGTGGCCCATAAAAGGTGTTGAGGGAAATTCACGCTCATCAAAACGATTACTTAAAAACTTGACATGAAACAGCAATATTTTACCAGGCAGTTATTCTTCTAAATATCCCCATATTTTCAGGACTCTGAAAATGAATCCATTTTGACAATATTTCCTCAACAATTCAGTAGTAAGCCCATAAATTCAGATATTTGTGAGAAATGAATAATTTCAGTCGGGTCCATTGATAGTATCAGACGTGTCCAGTTCAGAAGCTCATGAAGACGAGCCCAGCACATCCACGGCTCAGGTCAGGGTCACTCAAATTGTCCGCTTCCCCCTTTAACAATGAGACTCTTGTTTACTGTTTATTTATTTTGATCGCTACTAAGCACCCCCTCTAAACTCACAACCACTAGTCACTTGTTTTCGTGAGAATTCCTACCAGATTCAGGGTACTACGACATCGGCTGAGCCAACAATTTCACCTTCAACCAGTGCTGCTGAACTCGCAAAAGCTTCTGATGATGAGGAAGAGGAGAGCAAATTTGGCTACACCCAGGGTAGGTTCAACTACGGCTGTGTATGTCATCGGCAATGTATTTGGGTGCTGACCAAAGCTATGAACTCTATGAATAATCAAGGAAATTTCCAGCCAAATTGAAGCGTAAATACGGATATATGAATGGCGACGTACTGTTGGTATCGTGTG